TTAGTATAGTATATATATATATATATATATATATATATATATATATATATATATATATATATATTGCCAAATGAAGAGATTGTATAATGCTGGTCGTACTATATGTAGATGTTTTAATTGCGTCAGAGTTTATGTTGGATTAATGAAATTAAACAGAAGTTGATGAAAGTTTTTGAGATACAAGACATTGGAAAAGTACGCTGTTGTCTGGGAATCCAATTTGAGCAGAACAAGGAGAAGATCAAAACAATATATTACAACAACAATATATCGAAGAAACATTGAAGCGATTTGGAATGAGCAACTCAAATATAGTGTCCATGCTATTCGACTGTAGCAAAAAATTAAGAAAACCAGAGGAACTATCGGTACAGATGATGAAAAAATACTCTTATAAAGAATTGATTAGTTGTTTAATGTATCTTGCAGTGAGTAAGAGACCAGATATCGCTTTCTCCGTTGTATTCCTGAGCCAATTCAATGAGAGAGACCAACATTGGAGTACCGCTTTGGAGTACCGGTCGTGGGGATTCGAGAAAGATATACATATACATTTATATATATTGTGATATATATATGTGTGTGTGTGTGTGTGTGTGTGTGTGTGTGTGTGTGTGTGTGTGTGTGTGTGTTAATAAAGCAAAGGATATTATCATAAAAAATATATAATTAGAATGTATGCTCACCGTGCAATTTAAACGAATTTTTATATAATCCTACCTTAAACAAGATTTTACTTGTTGAATATATTTAGCCAATACTGACTTTTTCAAGATACTAACCTTGCCGGTTGATCCGTAGTAGATGGTAAAGCTAATTGTCTTGGCTCTGGATGATGCCTGATGTTAGCAGCTGTAGCTGAATTTGGACCATCAATTGAACCAGCAACACGACGTGTGCGTGTTTCCCACTCATGATTAAAACTCTCTGCCTCCTCTATAATAAATATGTAAACAATTTTATATAGAAACGGAAACTTTCTTTCTGTATTAATCAATTTTATAATTTATAATTTGGAAATTTTACAAATTATAAATTTACAAGGAGAAATTACCTTCATCAAGATTGATAAATTCCTGTCGTTCTTCTTCCTCACCATGCATATTTCGCTCTCTTTCAAGGATATGTGCCCTCTCACCAATGTGATGTCCAATAGCCATTTTCCTGGTTCCAGTGAGAGAATCACTTACTGTCTGTTTAGTTTCTTTTATGCCACCAGGTGCCATTCTTGTAGACATGGTCTCCTGATAAACTTGTGGTCGACCATCAGGACCACTGGACATAGTCATTACTGATTGACTCATAAATGAATGACAATTTCCATTACTTCCCATGTTGTTCTTTAAAACAAAATAAAATTTATGATTTATGTTAAAATTAATTGTAATAAAAACAAAATAATTTTAAAACTGCTTATAATTGTTGTTAATCTTATAGTTGACTATCTAAAATTATACTTACAAAACCAAATCTTCCAAAATTAGGATCAAAAAGTGAGACTGGCATATCATTGTGAATGCCTCTGCCATAAGGCATGAGAGCATTTTGCCCCATCATGTTTTGGAATGGATCATTGAACAAGGAATTCATCATGCTGTTCATCTGTCTCATGGTCTGCATGGATGATCTATCATAAAAAATCCAAAATTCATATATTTGCATTCTAAAATTTTTCAATTTTACAACAAATGACATAACAATTTATATTCCTTTTCAGATATGATGAAAATGTAAGAAAAAAACAAATGATCAATCATTATACAAACTTGATTTAATCAATTAAAGATATTAATCTTCTTTATCATTTATAAAAATATACATTAAAAACAATTACTAATTGAATCTTAATTGATAATATTGTAAATATTATCCCATGAGTATAAATTTTTTGCAAAATGATTACTTTTTTTTTCTAAACTTTTAATACAAAATATTCTCAACAAATTAATTGTTAATGGAATAAGATCATCTCACGTTTCTAACAAAAAAAAATGAAATGAAATTAATTTTCTTTTCTTTTATTTCACAATAATATTGAGGAAATTTCATTTTTTTGGAAACATAAGGTGATTCTTATGTCTTTAAATCAATGATTTGTTAAGAATATGTTGCATTAAAAAAACTTGTGTTTTGTGTAATGTATATCATATATAAATATACATAAATATATATTATATATACACATCAATTC